ATATGTATACATTGTGATAGTCAAGCGGCAATAGGCAGGGCAGGGAGCGTTATGTATAATGAAAAATCTCGCCATATACGATAGAGACACAATACCGTTAGACAACTACTCTCTAGTGGTATTATTACGATTGACTACGTAAAGTTAAGAGATAATGCGTCGGATCCACTTACAAAAGGCCTATCTAGAGAGGCAGTTGAAAGATCATCAAAGGGAATAAGGTTAAAGGCCTAAGACAAGTCATCATGGCGGTAACTCTACCTAGCAGACTGGAGATCCCAAGAGCTAGGTTCAAAGAGATCAAACAAAGTTATGAATGGCGGTTCAACATTGTCAAATAACTCAACCCATTCTCGTAATGAAGACAATGTTTAGAAATCAAGGTAAAGCATTAAGGCTTTTTGATGAGTCAATAAAACTTAAAGCTTTTTAATGATTTGCTAAGTCTGGCAGGATATGACCAGATCGTGTCTATAGGATTACACGTTTAGAAATTATCTATGTGAGTGTGAAGTGTAAGCCACTTCAAGGGGAATAAAAGTAAATGCCCATTCTCTAAGCACTCATGAAACCAGACGGTGTTCATGGCTGAAACGAACACAACCGTGAGAACCATAGATGGTTAAGGGTTGATTGTGTAACTTATGTTATCTAGGTATATAATAAAGCTCGACGGTTCAAAGATATCAAATCTACCGATTGACCGAGTATATCCAATATAAGTTCACTATGGCAAAGGGAAACCTACTTATCTAGATGCAATTAATTCTTGCATGTAAAACACACACTCGTCTGTGCATTCCTCTGTCTTATAGCCATTCCCCATTCATGTGGGTGATTATTGGGATTAAAAATTGGTAAATGGAAAATGAAGGGAAGAAAGTGGAGGGAAAGTGAGCTCCCTTTTGCTTTGGAAAGAGCAAAGTGTCCCTCATTGGATGTGAAAATAAAAGTGAATGTACTTATATTAAGAAAGCACTTCTCTTGGTGTTAAATGGGTTGGAAAGAAAGTAAGCCTCGCGCTGTTGTCGTCGTCGTCGCTCGGCTTCGACTTTGACTTCGGATCTTTTGGTCAAAGATCGATTGCTTGATTAATCTTTTTGAAAAAAATTTCTTTCAATTATTTAGTTAATTAACGAAAATTTTAACCCGAAATAACCCAGGACCCGCGACGCGTCCGCTTTCTTTCCCGGATTATTTTAAATCCGTTTTACCGTATTATTTCAAATAGCCTCTTCTAATAGCCATGGCTGTTTCTGAAAGGTTGCAAACCTTTTGAGAAACAGTGCCAGAAAGTCTATAAATATGCTTTGAATCCCAGAATCTTTCCACTACAAAAAAAACTATAATTACCTATGAACGTTGTCGCTAATTGGTCACTAAATCGCCCGTAATTAGCAGAATTTCGTGATAACCTGTCGCTAATCCGTTGCTAAATGAGATTAGCGACGGATTTTTCTGTTTAGCTATAGAATTTGTCCGTCGCTAAAATCAGATTTTTTAGTAGTGAATTCCTTACGACATTTTCTGCTCTTTTTCTTCTTCTTCTTCTTCTGCACAAAATCTTCAGTGTGTTTTACAGCCTTCGAGTGGTTCGATATTTCATCGACGTTTTTGGTACCAACACTCCGGTGAGTTTAAATCGTTCTATCCCGGTAGTATAATATTCTAGCACCTCGGGTACTTGAGGGGAATAATTTTCTTGAGGACACACTGTGCATTCAGTGGGCTCGATTTATTCCGAAATTATTTTTCTAGAAATTATTTTGACATTCTATTGTTGTTAACTTTCTGTTTCTGTTTTTCCTGTTTCAGAAAGTTTACTGTTTCGTTATTTACAGTAATACGTATTGACTAAAAGTTTTTACATATATATTGCATATCGAAAGTTTAGAGTTCGAATGAACATGTTGCTAAAAGGCTACATGGCTAGGGCTGCTTATCGGGCGGATTGGGCGGTTATTTACTCTTAACGGTTTGGCTTATCGGTTATCGGCTTTTAAATGTATTAATCCGCTAGCCACCCGATAAGATATCGGGCGGATTGGTATCGGTTTAGCTCTTATCGGGCGATTATCGGGCGGTTTATCGGATTATTTGCTGACCGCTATGACTCAAAATAAAATTCATATGCTCAGCATACTACATTCCAGTCTATAGAATATGGCACCTAAGAAGAGAGCTAAATAGAAAAAATATAGAGTNGGATTATCCGTTAAGAAAATTGAATAATCCGCCCCCAAATCGATAAGCCGTTAATAAAAAAAAATTCAATCCGTTCCCTGTCCGTTAAACCGTTAAACCGATACCAATAAGTCATTAAGCTTCGATTTCGATTCGGTTTTCGGTTTCGGTTCGATTTTGAAAACCACTATACATGGCCATTCCTTCTTTCATTAAATATTGATGGTGTTACTTATTAAGGTGAGTTGCATGCGTGAAGGCAAAGAATATCTCCTAACACTTTAGAAATGGCATATCCAGCTGGTAGAGTCTAATGATGGGATGCACCAAATTAAATATTCCAAATTTCGGTGCTTCTCTTTGGAGACGGATTTATGATTTAAATTTTACGGGTTTAGTTTTTAAGATTTTAGCATTGAACCCGTTATATTTTTAGAATTATGATTCATATTTACTATTTTTTTAATTTTAATGAATTTTTACATATAAATTTTACTTTGCGTCCAAAGTTATAGATTCAATCGAACCCGTTATTTACACACTACATCCGCCCCTGCTTCTACCAGATATCCATTGCTTACTTTCTTGTAATTTAGGTGCGTTTCATCTCTATACATTTTGGTTGAGAACTTACTGGTCCATTAATTCAGATTTAGTATATCAAAGAGAAAATACTTCATGTTAGAAATTATTTATTTTCAATAATACTTAAAATCAAAATATTTGATTAAGAGTGGAGGAATCTCACCCCCCACCAAAATCCTTGATCATAAGATGAGTTTCAAATAGAAATAAAAGACCATTTTTAGCAAAAAATAATTCTTCCTTGCACGTTATTACTTTTGGCTTATTGGACCTAAGAGTTAAATTAAACAATATACCTGCTAAATTCTTTTGGCGTATAATGAAAGAAAAAAAAACTCAAATTTTTTAATCATATGAAATTAGAACCACTGCATAATGCCAATATTTAGAAACAACGGCCTTAAGCTTTCTGTTTCTGGTGATTTGTTCTATTAAATGCAACATGGCTGAGTTGTTTACGAACCAATCACGATTTTCTATTTGCTAATTAAAAAGATTGTGTTTGTCCTGTTTAGTACACTGCTACATGAAAATTATCAAAGTGTGTTAATTAGGGTACGGCCAATAATATTTTGTCAAACGTACTAGTAATCACATGAGTGTGACATGTCACACGCGTTAAATATGTACTAGAAAATCTTAATATTTGCTAATTGGCAATAATATAAGCACCAAGGATGGGAGTATTTGGTGATTAGTGCAAGAGCTATGATAATTACATTTACTTTGTCCCCTGGGTTGAAGTGTATATGATAACCATATGATCATTTTTGAAGTGGTCTTAGTAAAAAGATAAAAACGTGAAAAAAATAATAGATAAACTTTTTAAACAGATCATCAAAGGTTGAGATAGAGCAATGAGTGCTCTTCTATCCTTAACCGGAAATCTCATGCTCGACGACTGGGTATGGAGTTGTTTTTGATAGGGAGCGATTTACCCTCAAAGTGAAATTTACTCTTTTAAGGTAGGGCTGGCAAGTGGGCCGGTCCCGGGCCTAAACGGGCCAAGTGGGCCGGTCCCAAATTAAACGGGCCAAACGGGCCCGGTCCTAAACGACTTTTTGTAGGGACCGGCTCGGGACCGGGACCGTTTGGTCCCGGGCTAAAAGGTCCCGGCCCGCGGGCTAAATGGGATGTTAGAGACAAAAGGATGTTAAAAAAATATCTAAGACAATGCTTTGTAAATTTTATTATAGAATTGTGACCTAAATTTTAATATTCAATATTTAATATCGAATATATATAGTATATAAGATGTATATATAGTATATCGATATAAGATGTATATATAGTATATAAGCTATATTCGATAAGCTATATATACATCTTATATATATATATATATATATATATATATAAGATGTATATATAGTATATCGATATAAGATGTATATATAGTATATAAGCTATATTCGANAAGAGACCGGGCCGGTCCCGGGCTCTGACGGGCTAAACGGTCTCGGGCATGACGGGCCCAAATCATAGGACCGGCCCACGAGACCGGCCCAGGCCTACTAAAACCGGGCCAAACGGTCCTGGCCCATTTAGCCCATTTGGCCCGCGGTTCCGGGCCGGTCCCGGGCCTGGACCAGCCCACTTGCCACCCTTATTTTAAGGCTTGTCAATGTGTTCCAATAGCCAAAATTTTCTTTGTTAATATTGGATCATCGGAAGCGGTGGCGAAGCCACACTATGGTTAGGGTGGTCAATTGACCACCCTTTATCAGAAAATTATACTGCGTATATATGTAAAATATTACGTTTTAGAGATACATAATATATATTGAACACCCTTTGTCGAATTTTTATTTTACTTATTTCAAGTTTGAACAACCTTGAGATGTCGGTTAAAAACCAAAAAGTCAAGTCCTTCCTCGTTATTTCGGCCTTTCCGGATTTCAATTAAATTAATGTGTGCTCGTATGGGAGTAGAAGCCACTACTTCCTTCTTCCCCCCGAGATGAACTACTCTCACAAAAGAAAAAGAATATTAGTAGGTATTTTGGAGGATCCGACATGGGTGCAGTTATATTTTTGAAGAATTCGAGCAACATAGGATTAAACAGTGTAACTCGTCGTAGGATCACTGCTACAACCATGGAAGGATTATATTTATTCAGTATAAAGTAGTCCTATATACAGCATCTTCCTGGTGTAAAATGAAGGTCTCGACCAGGAAAAAAAAAAGTTCCAACATTATTATTAGCTGCAATTTAAAAAAAAGAAGAAGAAAGAGGATAACCAGACTATTAGCAGAATGGAAATTGACAAAGTAAGTACTCAGGTGCATAATTATTCCAACAAAAACCATAATTTCTGCAAACAGCGAGTGTAAGTGAATGATAAGGTCCAAATACTGTCAAGAATTTAGTGCATTCGCAATTCAGTGTATATAAGTTTATCCTCCACTATATGTTTTCTTCTTTTTTCAGTTGAGCTCTATTCGTTGCAGTATTTTCTGATAGAATTGAGAAATAATAGCTGGCTTTCAGTTAGTCCGAATCTCTCTACCAAACGTATCGCAGAGCATTAACCCGTTATCAGCTTCTTCTCCTATCAACAAAGAAAGAAACAAACAAAATGACATTTTTAATTTGAAGGTCATACATGAGCTTCAGAAAGTTTCTTGCACCATATAACAAGATAACAGTAGCTGACTAAACGAACATCAATTGCAGTAGCAATATCTGGTCTCTGTCTAGTGTCTACTGAAACTTAATCATAAAGCTAAGTTGCATGGTTAAGAGAAACTACTAATGCAGGATAATAAGTGAATTTTCTTGGCCTAATATGCTCACATCCTGAAGATGGAGCAAGACCAAAAGAATAGCTTTACCAGGTTTAATAATGAAAGAACTTAACTGGTTATACAGGAGCTTCGTTCATTTCCAACGATATTCATCCTGACTGCTGCAACGCCTCAATAAATGCATCCTTGAGATGAGGATTCGTTGCAGCTACCCGTTGAGCTGTAATGTTGAAGTCTGAACCAGATCTGATGCAGAAAAAATACTAAACATCAGAGGCTATTTTGTAGTGTAGTAAATATTTGAAACTATATATTTCCATTAGACATCCGAACTTCCTGTGTATTTTTCAATATGGAAAACAGATGCCGGATTTCGTTGATTGTGTTCCTTCACTTCAATACTTTCTTAAATGATTGGTCTTACAGTAACTTTTCAAGAGTGTAATTAATTTGATTCAAGAAACCTTCATTTTTCAAGGGGAGCCTTAGCATAACTGGTAAAGTTGCTGCCTTGAGACCAGAAGGTCACGGGTTCGAGCCGTGGAAACAACCTTTTGCAGAAATGCAGGGTAAGGCTGTGTACGATAGACCCTTATGGTCCGGTCCTTCCCCAGACCCCGCTCATAGCGGGAGCTTAGTGCACCGGGCTGCAGAATCCATGTCTTCTTATGTTCTGTCCCGTAGAGAATAAACAAGAGAGAGAAACTAAAAGTTTAAAAGTGTGAGTATAACGTCTCAAAGCCTTATATATTTTACATTATAATGCTGTCTGAGGACTGAAGTTAATTCGTAATCAGCTGATTGTGACACTATCTCAAATCAGACTGATTAGAATTAAGCAATTGCCTAATCTAAGTAGATTAATCACAATCAACACAATTCCAATAAAAGTTCCAACCTACATTCCCAAATTAATTAAGCAATTGCATATTTATGTTAAGACTAGTTGCGATCAAACACAATTTCAATCAAGAGACTCAAACTGATCACGGAAACTTCATCTTGTTCTTTTTCATTATAGGAAAAGACTTCATGAGGAATAAAGTGCATTACTCACGGATCAAACAGGACACCTCCAGCTTCCTTCACTATTACGGCACCACCTGCCACGTCCCTGTAAGTAGAAGCATTACATCAGCAACATATCCTATGCAAAAAGATTGAAGAAATTGCCTTACCAAGGGCCTCCAAATCCAATTAAATAGAAGAGATCAAGCCTTCCACATGCCACCCAACAGAGATCAAGTGCACATGAGCCACACATTCGGAGGGATCTAACCTGTAATATAACATTCAAGCTAATTTAATTGCGTCTGAGGACATTCTTAACTGAACTTTGGACGTCTACCTTGAAAAGCAGGTTATTGATTCTCCTTGTTGTAGCTTCTAGAGTTAAGTTATCCCGTTGTGTTCCAACCTGCTCCAGTAAAACAAAATTAGAGTAGATTTTTAAGCATATCAAAGAGGTAAACGCCAAAAGTGAATCAGCATATTTATACATGTAAATTCAGATACTGTCTCCTAATATTCATGATCAAATTTATGTACATCACCAAGATATGGCCCTAGTTCTCTTTAAAAATTACAACCACATGAAAACTTGCTACGAGAAGAGACTTTTTAAGTCGACTTCACAAGAGATTTTGCGGACCAAATATTTATATGCCTTTGCCACTAAACAGACGTGTTTCATAACTCTAAGTACAAGAGACAGGTCGTATATATTCTGTTGATTGGCCAGGTTTGTCCTGCTCACATCTTTGGAGAAGCCAGAACCAATTGCATGAAGTTAAAATTATTTGAATTACTCTTAAATAATGACCAGAACTCAGGTTACTGAAAATATTGATATAGTGCCTTCACTTTTGTCTCAATGAGAATCAGGATGACAAAATCACTGAGCATATGGATACCTAGCAGGAAATACACGTAGTTGAAGATGGACGGTAGTCTTGAAAGCAATTATCCAAATTTTATGTTCATACAACAACATACCTAGTATTGTCCCACACCGTGGGGTCTGGGGAGGGTAGTAGTGTGTACGCAGACCTTACCCCTACCTTGTGAGTATAGAGAGGCTGTTTCAAATTTTATGTTCATATCAACCATAATTACAACGGAACATTCAAATTGCAGAAGTAGGTTCTGTTTCATTGTCATTCATGTACTGAAGGATTCCTGCGGAGATCCAATTATAAAGCAAAAATAGATATGACTGATTACCTCTGTGCCAAGGAGGGACTTTACAAGTTCGGATTTTGAAGATACTGCACATATTAAAATGTTCCAGAATACTAGTTAGAGATCAATAGAGCGTATATACAACGCTGTAAAGGTACACCTCATTTGTTATGCAACATACCTTTGATAGGCTTCCCATTGAGAAACGCACCTTTCCCGTGGATTCCAGTGAAAAGCTACATGTCAAAAGCCAACCTCTTTATTACATTCAATCAGCCATCTAACCCCCCACCCCCCCCAAAAAAAAAAAAAAAAAAAAAAAAAAAAAAAAAAAAACTCAACCCTGTTTGGAAGTCATAATTCCTTACTGTTTGGGATCACTAGATCTCTCACCTCATCGATAATTGGATCGTATACAACGCCAACAGTCGGAATCTTTCCAATTGTGAGACCAATTGAGACACAGACAGAGGGGAACCTACAATAATCACATTGTGCCAACAAATGGCTTGAGTGGTACAGGAACAATATAAAATAGGTTGTCACAGAATATATGGACCGAGAAAGTTATGCCTACCCATGCACAAAATTAGTTGTTCCATCAACAGGATCAACTATCCAAGTTGGTTCATCAGTTAGCTCAAAATCTCCACAGGCAGCAGTTGTTTCTTCACCTATGAACTAAAGTGAAAGAATTCACAGCAAAGAATGAGAAACAGAACAATTTAATTTTCCAAATAGTTCAGCCAACCAAGTGATACAATTCAAAACACAAGTGGTGGAAGTTAACTTTGTGACTTGGAAATTGTTGCTTGAGATGATTGAATATGAGATCTTCACACGCCTTGTCAGTCTCTGTGACCAAATCCACCTACATTACTGAAAAGGTAAATGGAAGACATAGACCAAAGGAAAAAGAAGAGAACATAAACAGAGATTATTTACTATTATGCAGTCATTAAAACCCATTCTTCCTATCCGAGTAAAACATTCTTTTACCTAATACGAGTTTCATGCAACTTCACTTCTGTTTCTCTATGCATCATAAACCAAAACTAAATAGAACAGCAAACATTCTTCCATCCTTTTACTTTACCTGAATAATAACTCGAGTGACATCCTTTAAAAAGGTACATCGAGTTCCTCCTAATATGCCTTAGAAATTTGACTTACGTGTGCTACGTATGATAGGATAATATTTTCTTGAAAATTGACTTCCTTGATGAAATCATTTTCCAATGTCTTGAATTTTCAGAAGTGTTCTCGTCAAGAAAAATATGTCAGCCAAAAGAAGAAAATGATTTCTCTACTTCTCTCACTTATTGGCGGAAGTCATTTTCCTTCACAAATATTCCAACTCGATCACTTGCTGCGTTAAATTCTTAGGCATTGTTATCGCTTTTAATACTTAAAGATATCACAGAAACAGTCTCCATTATAATGACTTGGAATTTTAAACCAAAAAAAAAATCCAAGTTAAGCATTTTCCCGAATACATTTTCTATGGGAAACAATTTTCACCCTATCAAACGCCCAATGAAGCATATATAAGTGACCTATAAGTGAAAAATTAACTGTAGATTCCAAAAATCAGGTCACAAACTTGATTCCCTGCTAAGTTTAACTCAATTTCCCAAAGATTAATTTTTCAAAGACTTGAGCGTCAGTGTATCTTTTGTGTAAAAACTAAAATTGGTCAAAATAACTTACAAAAAGAAAAGATAAAACAAATGCTGAGGCAAAAAAAACATATATACATACAAATGCTCAGATAGTGAAAGAGCTACCTGGCCTTTGTGCACCACATGCTTAGTCTCGTAAAATCCTTCGCGTATTATCTGCAAATCCCAGAAATTTAACACAAAGAAATCAAGAAAAAGAAAAGAAAAAAAAATTTAAGAACATGGCTGAAAATTTGATAAAGGGGAAGATAAAAATTTGGAAACTTTGAAAAAATTTAACAAGAAAAGATCAAATGAGCATCATTTAATTTGATTAACCTCTCCAGCTCTCTTAGCTGCATCAACTGCAACAGCCAAGAATTCTTCTAGTGAACCTGAAATTCAAAAGTAAAATAAAAAAAACATCTAATAGAAACAAATTGGGTACATATACAAACGCCAATCAAAGCAAACATGCATTATATATATGCTGATGTGTGTGTGTGTGTGAAGAATATAGCAATGGGGGCGGACCGTGTTGAGCCATCTTCAGTATTTTCTGTTTGGAAAATGGATTGGGAAAGAGAAAAGTTGATGAATTGAATTGGTTTTGATATTTAACGCTAATTTTCTCTATTTGGGATTTCTGAGATGAAAGAACAAAATGAGAATTATTTGTTCCGGAGATACATAAGAGTAAATATTTAATATAGAAAATAATAAATAATAATGTCTTCCTCAATTGGTTTCGTTAGTACTACCCCAAATGTACTTTAATTTATCACAAATGCAATGAACTTACTTGGAGTGCCAGATATATTAATTATAACTAACTACTATAATGTATAATGTATAATGTATGATAAGAAAATACATGTATTTAAAGGTTTGAATTTGCCTTTGAACTTTGTGAAATGGTCAAAACTTACCCTTTGTTAAATAGAACACTTACCCTTTGTTAATTGTTGAAGTCGGATATACTTTTGTCGTTAAAGAAATGGACTAAATTGCCCTTATTGACTAACGGTAAAAACTTTTTAACACGCGAGTCTTTTTAATTTTTGCAAGATTTTTTTTTTAAAATTTACCCTTGAATTAACAACAAACAACAACGTACCTATATAATTCCACATAGTAAATTTGAGGAAGGTAATATATACGCAGACATTACCATTACTTTTGTGGAGGTAAAAAAATTATTTTTAGTAAATTTACCCTTGAATTATGTGAAATAATCTAAATGTACCCTGTAATTTGCGAAATAATCCAAATTTCAATCTAAAAATGCCAATTGAAGATCACCATTACTTCACAACCACTTCACTTCCATGACACTTACAAAAAAGAATATATAAATTTCCAAAGAAAGATTACCTCCATTCACATAATCTATCTCATATATTCATCTTTAATTTTATTAATCACCATTTATTTCCGCCATATTATCGGCCCTCAACCATTATAATTACATTGACTACTATATTAATGTTGCAAATGATTAAGAGCTAAACTTATGTACGTTGATTTGTTTTAGCATTAATTAAGGAGGTCGATTTAAAGCTTTATCTTTGGTTTTAGTAATCTGAGAAGGATTGCTGGTGGAATTTTGTAAATAGAATTTAGACATAAATGAAAATTCAACTTGATTTAACTAAAGGCAAATTGGAAAAGTATGAGAGGAATATTAAAAGGGGAAAGCATCTTTGTCACTGATGATAACTGTAAAATAGGAATCGGATGCCAACGTTAGTATCTGTTATAAAAATAAGCACCTATTTATACAGAAGTGAAAAATCAATTTAAGATGAATGGATGCACCTTCAAAATATTTGATTTATAATTTTTTACTTAGACAAAATTCCAATAGTATCCTCCCAAGATTTTTCTAAAACCTTTTATTTTACGCAATATTTTATTTTTATTACTAATGTACTTTTTGCATGGTCAGGTACTAATGTCTTATATTATGAGCTACCATAGTTCCCACATCTAATGAGACGTCATATTCACATCACTAAAATAGAAAAATTAATTTTCGACTCAATACAATATATGATATATTTCATCATATGACACATTATGAAAAACATTTTGGGTCATAATTAAAATGGTTTCTTTACTTTCTTTTTTAAGTGGTGGCATTTACTTGTTAACTCAACTTATTTAATATCCAATGCATTTCATCATGTGACACATTTTTTTTAAGCGGGGTGAGAAAATGAGTTTTCTTTATGTTCTTTTTAACGGGTATCACGTGAAATTATATAAGTTGAGTTGCTAAGGTGAAAGTCTATTTGTGTTTCCGATATCAAATTTGCATTTTCGGATATTTTTTATTTTCTGCAATATATAGATATAGTTGAGTTATTTTTTGTAATAAAAATTAGTTTTATAACTTTATCGGGATAAATTGACAGTTATTTGTCTCTCAACGTTAAAGTTGTGTCATTAAGGGATCCCAAGAGAGAATGCACACAACAATTCACGTGAAGCTACATTGTCTTTTTCCCTCATATTCAACACACGAACAGGGCTACTTTGCACTCCATGACAAAATTAATTTACTTTATTTTTGTTATAAAACGAGTTAGTAGACTTATGACTTTCTCCTTAGCGGATTCGTATCATCCGTAGTAACCACGACTCGAATTACTAGTCGTTGAGAATTCTCACGTGGCGGATGGACTCCCTGTTTTCACTAAGATGCAGAGAATCGAACTCTAACCGTCATTGGTTCCCATAAGAAACGTTAGATTAACTTTTTTCCTATATACACTCATAATGGTATATTTTATAGGTTATAAGTAGGGTTTAAAGGAGCACTTATTAATGGATATGTTATCTAGCGCCTCTTTAATTGGACCCGACCCGACCCAATAATATTTTCCAACAGTTTTGTTATTTTAATCAGCTATAAATTTTAGATTAATCTGCTTGCGCCTCAAAAAAACGTTTAACCGGGTATAGTATTTGTATGAGATTACAAGATTCCTAAAACCTTAGAAAGCAAACAGTTTATTATTCGATTGGGATAAACTTGAATAAGATTATTTATCACTAGATTGAAGTAAACTTGGATAATGTAAATTAGATATACACAATCTATAACAAAATATAATTCATCGGAGATTGAGATATAGTTGATTGATGAATTGATACGTATACATCCATCTACATACAAGAACTTCAAAAGAAAAAGAAAAAAGCAAAATCCCAAAAAATTAAAAGAAAAGAATTTTAACCTTATCAAATGACTAACAAGATATAACATAAAGAAAATGATCACACAACATTAAATAAAAAGATGACATGCAATGTATATGATTGCTTTTATTAACTTCAATAAACTACATTATTATATTTCTTTTGCAGATTAGATGCTTCCTTCAAATCTAACATCGTTATCAACTAAATTTAAGCAGAAATACAATTTTGTTCTCCTTTTTCTTCATTACAACGTAAATCTTTAAAGGAAGTAAGGTTCCTATATTTCTCCCATGGCTTGTCCCACACCTCTGCCATGTATTGGTGCGGTTCACCACCGTCCTTGGCGGCGATGACCAGTCGATAATTTATTCCGGCGACGACTTGGCTCTCTCCATTCATTATTTTCTCAAACTCCAACTTGGTCTTTGCCTCTTTGTTGTGCTCATTCACCGCAAATTTTCCTATCTCCACCACCTCAGGATCCGTTATGTTTTTTATGGGCCTCCAACCGCCCGCCAAAACCTCTCTACGGCCGCCCTGTGCGGCGGAGACATGGAAGAGAACGGCGGCAATCACCAGAGCTAAGAGAGTCCCAAGGATGGAATTGAATTTGATAGCCATTTGTTTTTCCTTTAGAGGAGAGTGAATTGAAAATTTAAGTTGTGTTTGACAAGTAAAAATACTTCAGTGTGTGGGCTTATTTATAGCACAGAACCCAAACTTGTCAAGGAATGTGAAATTCCAAATTTGCCCTTCACCCAACTATCCCAAAGTTTCAAAGTGTTTTTCTTTCTTCGGTCAATTCAAAATCTGTGAAATCTCTTAGCTAGAGTTTGACTAACATATTTCCAAATTTATTCTAAAAAAAATTTGATTTGGTTGAAGTTTAGTTTGAAGATGAAAATATGTTTAGACATCTGTTTTGGGTGAAGTTTGGTTTGGAAAAACATGAAACATGACTTATACCCACAAGTTCTAAAAACTATCACAAATACCCAACAATACAATTATCAATAACATTTATTATATTATCGCAAACCAAAGTCCTGAACATAAATAAATTTGATACAAAAATATCATTTTTATTATGAACTACATGATACACTATCAGATGACCGAGAAAATGAAGCAACATCGTTACAAAATAATAAATGGTGGGCTCTTTTATAAAATACAAAAGTTTGGGACAATTTTTAAAAAATATAATAGTGATATTTTGGCCCAAAATCAGCTATTGAGCTGGTTTTGGGATTTGGGATTTGGTACTTGGGATTTGACCAAAATGTAGGCAAAATCTATGGCCAAATATGTGTTTGTCAAATAAAACCCAAGTTTATTTTGACAAAATCTATTATAATTTGAGTTGGATTTAACATGTCAAATTTGGTAAACACTTGGGGTAAGTCATTAATTTAATTTTACTAATAAGATGTAGTATCCGTGTAGTAATTGTTGGTGTATATTTAAAAATAAATGAAGAAAATAATTTATAATTGATATGGGAAAGTTAGTAGTATAACATTTCTATCTCCTCCTAATTTTCATGAATGAACCTAAGGAGGCAAAACATAATTTTCGTGGATTGAATTAAATGGAAAACAAGTTACTCCCTCTTTATTTCTTTTATCATTTTTTTTTTGAAAAACAGGAATATAAGTGATCTCAATATGTAAAATTTTCTTCTCTTTTGATAATTTGAGTTCAAGTGACTGACAGTCAATGTGAATCGTGGGGGCAAGGACAAATAGATTTGTGAATTAATCCGTTGATTTGTTTATAGAAAAAATTATAAGAAAATACACGTGACTTCACACCATAACAAAAAGTAGAACATATTTTTAAGTTTTACCCGACCTAGCCCATATTGTACATATTTTGAAAGTAGTAGCAAATTTAAAATTTGTGTTCTTACAACCATTGCTTCTAAAAAGTATGGACTTAAATTTATGTTCTCACAATCATTTCTTTCACTCTCTCTTCTTCTCAAATCTTCTATATTTGCTTCAAGGCGTCGTCCGTCATTACTGCTTTTCTCCCTCTATCACCTGATTGCAATGTAAAAATATTGAAGAGTAGAAGTCCACCATAGGCCATTCAAAGCTTTGCTTTCGAAAATAGGATTTTTTGAGTTTGTTAGTTGTTTGGATTGTGTGTTGCTCCAATTGATTGAAAATATCAAAAGGAGTTCAAAATTTAAATTTGAAGTGATTTGGAGTAGATTTGAGCAAGATTTGAGTTAAATTTCAGAAAAGACAAGGAAGAAGACGAAGTTAGTTTTTTGTATAATTATGTATAATCTTGTATAATAGTGTATAAACACATCTTATACACTATTATACACCTTTATACAAGCATTTGTAGACGAACTTCTTCCACGATTTTCAGTTGCAATTCTTGTTCAAAACCAGTCCAAATCTCCATTAAATGACTTCAGATTTTATATACAACCTCCTTATACTATTTCTAACAAGTCTAAATAACACCCACTC